TACCCATCACCTAGATTCTACAATTAACATTTATCTTACTTGCTTTACTACATATCTACCTGTCTTTTCATCCCTCTATCCAACCAGAAATTCACATCATGTTTCAGACACTAGTAAACTTTACTCCTGAACAGTTCAGCATGCATATTATAACTAGAGGCCAATACTTGCTTACGGTTCTCTTTTTAGGTACAAATTTCTTATAATCAAATATATCAAGCTTACATGTACCATTCAATAAGTTTTGCCAAATGTATACAGCCGCGTATCTCAAATCTCTATCTACCCATAGCCCAGAAAGTTCCCTCCCCTCATGCCCCTTCCCATCGCTATTCTAATATGTGTCACTATTAATTAGTTTTATCTGTTCTACAACTTCATATACATGGTGTTATAATTTATTTACTCTTTTGTGTTAAGGGATTTTTCTCGTTGAAGATCGTGTTCTTGGGCTGCATCTGTGTTGTTTTGTGTGTCAGGAGTTTTTCCTTTTAATTCTTCAGTATCACTCTATTGTGGAAATATACTGATTTCACTTTCTTCTTGACAGATACCTGCCCTATTTCCAGTTTGGGGTTATTCTAAATAAAACTACTATAAAGATCTTTTTGTGAATGTTTTCATTTCTCTTGGGTAATTACCTGAATTGACAGGTCATAGGACAGGAGTATGTTTAGTTTTATAAGAAACTTCCAGAACTATTTGCAAAGGAATTGTACCATTTTAACCCCCACCAGCAATGCATGAGAGTCTCTGTTGCTGCACATCATCACTGATAGTTGGCTTTGTTAGTCTTTTTTTTTTTTTAAATTACAAAATAAGAATATTCACAATAGAAAGTGCTTTTATCATAAAAGGAATGATTAAGGCGATATCCATACACATGTGCCCCTGTTACTATATCAGTTCAGATTTCTTAAGTCAGCTAATTAAAGACATTGCATCCTAATTCTCATCCTTAAGGAGTTATTTGAAAGATACATTATTTGGCAGTTATTTTAAATGTTTTTGCATTCAACTTGAGCTCTAAGTCACTGAATGATTGTTGATGTTCATTTCTAGGATGTTTTCCTATTAATACTGAGGCCTTCAACATAATCAAAATTATAATAGTTTAGCTTTTGACTTATGCTCATAAGAAAATAAATAATCACAACCTAGTCACTAACTGATAACATTTCTTTTGTCTGAATTGAATGAGCATCAGTCACTTCAGGAATGTCTCATAGACCTAAAACTTTAAGAAGAATGAATCATTGTAGACTGAGTCTAAGTGATGTGTGGTAAAGTTAGCTCTGAGTTAAGTTGCTACTATTTCCTTCTTAAATCATTATTTTAAAAATATTATTTCAGAGAGGAAAGGAGAGAGGGAAAGATAAAAACATCAGTGATGAGAGAGAATCATTGAGTGCCTCCTGCATGCCCCCTCCTGTGGAGAGGGCCCACAACCCAGGCATATGCCCTTGACTGGAATCCAACTGTGACCTCTGGTTCAAGGGTCGATGCTCACTCACTGAGCACCACCAGCCGGGTACAATTTTATGATAATGTAAATGTTTCCTTAGGCTTTACCATTTATCCCTGGGAGGTTTCAAGCTTTCAAATTGCTGTTTTCTTGCCTTTTCCTCCATTCCCCATGCTCTGACTCCTGCTCATTTGTTATGAAAATAGCCTAAATAATCTTAATGCTTCTCAAAACCGTATTTCAGTTCACTGCTTATAACATTAAACAGAGTATAACCCATTTGACAATATGCCTTTTAATGAACCTTTAGTAATTAGTAATAAAGCTGAATGCTCTCAAGTGGGAGAAATAAAATATATAAGTCTGGAGGCTAATGCAACCCGGTCAAGAGATCATGAATCACTGACATGAAAGATAATGTTCCCACTTCTCTTATCTCTTAAACTAGTTCCTCTCTCTCTCTCTCTCTCTCTATATATATATATATATATATATATATATATATATATATATATATGTGTGTGTGTGTGTATATATATATATATATATATTATATATTTCAATTTTCCCAAGATCTCAAAAGATAATCCATGAGTACTATATGTATAAAGGTTTTAACTAGAAAATGTGTAATGCAACTTTAGCAGCAATTAATTTTAGTTGGGCAGATTTCACTTCCAGTGGCACCTATTTAGTTCCTTCCCGTAACCGTTACAAAGGGTGAAATGGTTCCACAGTTCCTGGAATCGCCATTGGCTACAGAGTCATTAGGGAGATGGCACCCAAGGAAATGCTATGAATTAGGCATTTTAATCTCCATTTCCATTTGCCTTTTACAGAAGCACTTAATACATTGCTTTATCTCTCTCTCTCTCTCTCTCTCTAGCTACAAAGTAATAAATAAAACATACTGGCTCTGAAATTAAGAGTAGAATATTTTAACTCTAGTCATTTCTTTAAATTACTTTAAATGTCATCTCTATATGAGGTTTTTATATTTTTGGAACTGAGCCACTACACATATATCTTTGAAAATAAGAATACTCCATCCCTTGGAATGATACTGTCCTTGCTAACTGTCCCACTCATCAAATGTACAATGCATACAACAGATTTATTATAGGTGGTTTTTAAAATCTGCATCTGAGCCACCAGGGCCAATGTTATGCGTAGGTGAAAATAGGCAGCTAGGATTGGGGCGATGAGGCAGCACAGAAACGAACCGCCTGTCTTAAAAATATTTTCCCTCTAATCTGCCTTAGAATGAGACACTATCTTCACATTCTTCTATCGAAGTCTATGTATCAGCAGGTAACATATAGCAGCACGACTTTTGATTACACCAACTAGTAATGCCCATTATCCCTTCAGAGTCTAGTGGGGGCCATGTGGGGATGGGTCACAGACAGAGACATTTTGAAAGGCTCAGAAGCTATGAAATAATGAGACCTCATGTGTGTGGCGGAGGAGTATGGAGGTCCAGCCTGAGGGTGGGAGACTCTGAAAGAAAATCTGGAAACTTTCACCAGATACATGCTTGATTCCAATGTTGGCCTAAAGCCGTGGTTGGCAAACTTCGGCTTACGAACCACATGTGGCTCTTTGGCCCCTTGAATGTGGCTCTTCCACAAAATACCTTAGCCTGGGAGAGTCTATTTTGAAGAAGTGGCATTAGAAGAAGTTTAAAAAATATGGCTCTCAAAAGAAATTTCAATCGTTGTGTTGTTGATAGTTGGCTCTGTTGACTAATGAGTTTGCCAACCACTGGCCTAGGGCTAGATCCCTGAGACACCAATGAGAGAGTAAGGTAGTCTTTTATTTTTCTAATAAAGCCACATTTTGCATATAAGCTATTTGGAGACACTTTGTTCTTTCTGACACAGGAAAGACACAGGATGACTGCACCTCACTGGCGCTGAAGCAAAGAATGTTGCATTTTCTTGTGTTATGTAAGCCACAAAGTTAGACACACTCTGGCTCACTAAATAAGTATTAAAAATGGAAACTGTCATTGTAAAGTGCTATGTAAATATAAATTCTTTTTACACCCAGAATTTAAAAATTGAAGCCTCAATTTTTCTCCTAATAATTACCCCAGACATTTTGCCACTGACCCACTTTCCAAAGGATTCAAATCCAAACACTGCATTATTTCATCAGATTTCAATGCATTTTAAATGAATGGGGATAGCGATAAAAATAACACATTAGGACAATGGACAGAGTTCACTTGTAAGCTTCTTTCATTTCAAATCTCTCTCTAAACTTTATCCTTTTTGTTTAGTTTGCTTTATTCAACACATGCTAATTTACCTGCATATAAAAGAAAGAGTTTTGCCCTGGTCAGCCTGTGCACCAAAGGGTCTTGGTTTCAATTCGGGTCTAGGGCACCACTTGGGTTGCAGGTTCACTCCAGCCTAGTTAAGGAAGCAAACAATGGATGTGTCGCTCTCACATCAATATTTTTCTCTCTCCCTTCTCTCTCTTTCTTCTACTTCTCACCCCCATTTCCACTCTCTCTGAAATTCAATGGAGAAAATATTATTGGGTGAGGATTTAAGAAAAAAAATAGCTTTATTGACAACTAAATCCTCTTTCCTTAATCAAAAAATAAAAGTGATCACTCATGTTTTATCATATTCACATTTATTTTTTAAAATATATCTTTTTTGGATTTCAGAGGGGAAGGGAGAGGGAGAGAAAAAAAGAAATATCAATGATGAAAGAGAATCATTGATTGGCTGCCTCCTGCATGCCCCCAATGGATACAGTATGGACATCCACAGGCCAATGCTCTATCCACTGAGTTGAACAAGCTAAAGCTATCATATTTACATTTATATTTTTATCATAATTGAGAAAGGCCCAAGGACTATAGAATAAATTTTAAAACTTAAGTTTAATGTTTAGTTAGCACTAGATTGTTAAGCATAATTATTAGAATTTTATTACTTTTCTCTTTTTTCATAAAAATTTTATTTTTTCATTAAAAATTTTTGGCCTCTCACAAATTAACCATAGCAAACAATAAAGGAACATCCTTTAGACAGAAACAAAAGCCTTCAATAAAAATAATTTGTATCTTCTAATCATATTATGCTAGGGTCTTAATATTAAAGAACAATCTCACCACTGCCAATTGACTAGCTCTTCATTTGTCTCTCTGAAAATAAGAGGTTTTAATCTCTTCTTGCAAGCCAGGATATTTTTATGGTTTAAATATATTTTGGAATTTGTTCCAATACTTAAGTTGAAAATATCTGATATTTTCAATTACTTAAAGCAGTTATGATTTTCAGCTCCCAGCAGAAATCTGTTGCTGAAGGGGGGGAAAAATTAAAAACTTTTAGTCAGAAAGACACTTATGTAAGAACTATGATATTGGTCATTGGTTTGAAAGCAGGAAGTCCTAAATTTTAGACTCAAAGACTTAAGAAAGCATTATTCAGCACCTTTTTCTCTCAGAGCTAAGGCGAATGGCTGATGAGTAAAATCCTGAGAATGTTCACAGCTTTTCTCTTTCATTGTGTTGCAGCCCGGAAGGTGGTGAGATCCATCCAGAAATCTGTCGGCTTTATATCCAGCTGCAGTGCTGCTTAGAAATGTACACAACAGAGATGCTAAAATCCGTATGTCTGCTGGGGTCTCTTCAGTTTCATCGAAAAGGTAGCTACATTTAATATATTGCCATAAATTCTGAGAAATATTAAGTAGAAGCTCATCTTTTGCAAAGTACCTGCGTGCACTGTATGTCTATCCACACACAATTAGAATGGATGTAAATGTTCAAGGAATATTTGTTATCCATACTAATAAAAAAGAAAGATGCAAATTGACTGTACCTTCTCAACACCCACCAGCCAATCAGGAGTGAGTATGCAAATTATCCCAACAAATATGGCAGTTAGTTTGCATATGAGGCATTCCTCACCACCCCAGCCACTCCGGGCCTCTGGGCAGCGTGGGAAGGCAGAAAGGCAGCTCCAGGCCAGAGCGAAAGCGGTGCCAGCAGCTAGAGGAAGAAAGGCCCATTCTTGCACGAATCTTCATGCATTGGGCCTCTAGTAAATTAATAAAATAAATCAATATCAATTCTAAATGCCTAAAAACACTAATCACCTTGAGCAGAGATTGTGATAGAAACAGTTCTCAATTTATTATTTTACCACTTGTGAGCATGACTGATTAGAATTGACATAGGCATCAAAAATATATAATGATCTTACTAGGCTAGTAAATGCTATCCAAGATTGCTGCTATGTATTTCCCTAAATAAATTAGTTTGCAAGAAGATAAATTACCTATTGTATCCCAAAGGTTTAAAAGTAGGAGAATCTCAACAAACAATAAGGGAGGCATATTAATTATAGAAAATCTCATTACCAGGCTTAAACTCTAAAAGGAGTCTATTGGCTGAAGTGACTGAAGCCTCCAGCAGTGTAGTGGCTTTAGCATGTTTTTTATTAGACTACCGACTCCCATTCTTAGTGATATTCTGTCTTCTCCTGGCTTTACCTTTAGGCCGCCTTCCCCCACATTAGCAAACTGATTGCGACAGTTCGAGTAATAACATCTGCACATCACAAGATCCAAAAAAGTCAGAACTTCTCCCTACTACAGACTAGCAAACATCCTAAGCTTCATTCTGATTGGACCAGGTCAGATCATGGGTCTATGCAATAAATCACTGTTGGCAGAGGGATGGAATTATGAAGACTGGTTTAGGCAATCAGGCCCTTTCCTGGAACTAGCAGAGGGTCAACCTCACCCAACCAGTGGCTCTTACATGACGTGAGAGGGCGAAATGGAATGAATGATGGGAAGAAGCCAGAAGTTCCATTACTGGAGGAGTGAACCCATATATTCTTCACTAATTCACCAAACAGTAATTTATTGGGAACCTCCAGAATGCAAACATTTTGTACTTGAGCTCAGGAGAATAGAGGGTACATAAAATGAAATACATGTCTATTATTTAAATTCAGAGATAGAAGAAGTTAATAAACTAATACTCAAGGAGAATCTTACTGAAAGGCTTGGGCTTGAGTTGGATTGTGAAGAAGATAAGGTTCAGGAAGGGAAGGAAAAAGACACTTCAGGGGAAGAAACAAAGTAAATATTTGAAGTCAAATGAGCTTGTAATTAGAGGGGAGCTAAATAACATGATAACATATTTGTAAAAATTATATCTGTGTATACACATAGAACTAGAAACAGGGTCTTGCTATGCTCCAAAAAAGAGAACATTTTCTCCATGTACATATACTATATTTTTATCTGCATTCCAAAAGCTTACCTTTTAATGGTTTCTATCTTTACTTCTGTTACTAACACAAGTGAACTAGCTTGAAGAGATTATCTTGACACTCCTGAAGCCTGATCAGAAAAATGAGTATCATACACACTGATGAATTGATGACATCCAAACAGGTTGTCATGGCCCAATGTATTTACTTGTCCTCTCCCCCCCCCCCCCTCTCTCTCTCTCTCTCTCTCTCACACACACACACACACACACACACACACACACACACACACACACACATTTCCCAGCTCTGTTTAAAAGTAAAAGAGGGCCCCTCACCCAGATTTCTTCCTTATTGTATTTGGTGTTGAGCATACAAATAAAAACACACATCACCTTTGAGCTGATCAGCTCATTTGGTCTTCACTGTCTTCTGTCTCTATTGTCAGCATTTTACCTACTTCCTTCCCTTCCTCTTCTTTTAAAAATAATAAACCCTGCTACTTGCTCTAGTGCCTAACTTATATACAACTCTAAAAATAATATAGTTGATACAGTGGTGTTTCCAGTGTGGCCTTGGCCTAGGGAAGGGGCCCATCTAGATGACCTCACTAACTTCTTCAAGAAATCAATGCACCACCAGTCAGCCAATATCCAAGCCATAAGCCATTCTTTTTTCATTCATTTATTTGACACATATTTATAAGCCAGCCACAATATACAACTAAATTCTACTACTTAACATCAAATTTAATAACTTATAATTCATGTTGACTGTTAGCTTTCCTGAGCATCCCTTTAATCTTCTTTCCATGTCTACTTTTAGGCTACCATCAATTCTAACTTATGTTACTAAGGATCCATCTGTCTGCCTTCCATCTTCAGAGAGAAAGAGATAGAGAGATTGAGAGAGATAGAGAGAGAGAGAGAGAGAGAGAGGTCAAATAGTGCTTAAGGTCTCAGAGGAATAGTGACTCCCATTCTAGCCTGTAACACTCGAAATTTCTTTGTGCTTAGAACCCCTTCTGGTATGTTTTTTTAATGCTATTATGAAAACTGGTGTTTTGATAACTTTTAGGTTTAAACAACCTAAATTAAATATTTCTTCTTTGTGTGAGTGTTATAGGTTGGCCATTCCCCTCTTCTTTACTATTTCTTTTCCATCAAGGAAAGAAAGGGAATTGTAATTGAGTCATTAAGTTTGGCTCAATAAGAGTCTAGCCAATTTTTCTTTGAGATTAAATACTGAAACCAAATTGCTTCACGGTTACTTTTATTTCTAATCACCTCCCTGGCTGCCACCAGAGGTCCAGCAAGTATTGTATATCACACTTAATTTTACTATTGTATTGAGTAGTCATGAGTTTACTCCTTGAAGGGCACATAAGGTCAGTGCAGGTGCAAAGAGTATGGTTTCTTTGTGGGGGGAAAAAGAAGCCTCAAATCATTTTAATGTTCCTGCAGCGTGCATGAATTTAGTATCAAAAATTGTAATTTTCTCCCATTTAAGCAAACCATGATTATCCTTAATCCTTAGCAATATCTTTAGCGTATTTTTTTATTTTTATTTTTTGCATATACAATGCTTCTGAATTGTTGCTATCTCATAAGTGTGATCGATACAATCAATTATTTGGCAATCTTTTATACTTTACAACATTAAGCTATTGTCAAAGAAATGAAGAAAAACTACTAAAATGATGTTTTCTTTTTTGCATAACCAACAAAATTAAATTAAACTACCGAAATGTGAGGTAAAATCCACATTTAATAAAGGCTATTGGGTTATCCCATGCAGAGTGTGTTTCTGAAAAACTATGTTTGTAGTTTATATTTATGAGGAAAATAATTTTAGACATCTTGTAGTTTCATATTCCAGCATGTTAAGTTGTAGATTGGACCATTACTTGACAAAGTCTAATTTCTATGTTTATAGTGAAAAATGGTTGCTCTCACTTCTTCACACTTTGGTTGGTAGGAAATCTTTTCCCATAACCGAGTCCATGTATCACATTGACCGCAAATGCCATTTCCTGCCACCAGATGAAATGAGATTGCAGGTTTCATTCACTCCCAGGGAATTGAATGATCCTGCTCTCATGGCCATGGCTTCCTCTCTCTCTCATTCTCGTCCCAGTCAATCAGTTTTGGCAACAGTCCCGTTCAGAAGGAGCAGAGATGACAGAGCACTCCATGTGACTCCCCTTCACACCTGACCTTGCTCATTCTGTTTTTGTTCTCATCTCACCTCACTTGCAGTGGCCGTCTCTGGCTCTGTTCTGCCTCTGCCACAGCGAACAGCAAATCTGTCCCCAGGTCCTCTGAGCATATACCATTTTCCCATTCTCCCCCCAAAATAAGGGGTTTTCTCCTGAAATGTGTTACCATGATTAACACAGAGATAAAAATATGCAGAGGAAATGTAATCACAAGAGGGAAAGAATAGAAAAATGTTAAAAATTGAAAAATCTTAATTCAAAATCTAGTGGGAGCTGAGGCCTCAAGAGGCTCTAATGAGAAATTAATGAGCTGCTATCCAGCAACATTCAGGATGAATTCAAGACAAAGAGCAGACTATGAACAGTAAAGACGCTATCCAGCCTCGCATTAAGAAAAGGAAATGATCCACACCAAAAAAAAAAAAAAAACACACAAAAAAAAAAACAATAAGCAACATAAAGATAGAAATGGAATATAGTCAGAAGTAAAGACCTTATCCTTTTCTAATGTAATGAGGCAGTTGATATTAAAATAGAACAGTAGGGTCAGACGAAACAAGCACAATAAACCTTAAAATAGACTATGATTCCAATTCTGAGTGGAAACATGCATTCATTGTTTGAACCAGTACATATTGAGCACCTAGCATATGTAAGGCATCATTGAAGGTGCAGTGATCAGGCTGAAGAGATCCCTGTTCTTGTGGACTATATAGTCTAGTGCAGTATTCTGCAAACTCATTCGTCAACAGAGCCAAATATCAACAGTACAACGATTGAAATTTCTTTTGAGAGCCACATTTTTTAAACTTATACTTTTTCTAACACGACTTCTTCAAAATAGTCTCGCCCAGGCCATGTATTTTGTGGAAGAGCCACACTCAAGAGGCCAAAGAACCGCATGTGGCTCGCTAGCCGCAGTTTGCCGACCATGGGTCTAGTGCAAAGAAATATTTTTTTAAGTGTTATAAACATCCCAAATATCAATAAATGAGATGTCAGTAATGAAAATAGAATGGGTGATGTAATCATGATTAGGTGCTCTAGAAGAGATGGTCAAACTCTGTAAAGAGGTAACACTTGCCGAAACCGGTTTGGCTCAATGGATAGAGTGTCAGTCTGTGGACTGAAGAGTCCCAGGTTCGATTCCAGTCAAGGGCATGTACATTGGTTGCAGGCACATCCCCGGTAGGGGGAGTGCA